ACACACACACAGGAAAAAAGCTTGAATAAGCATTTTTTCCAAAGAAGGTATGCAAATGGCCAATGAGTATATGAAAAGATGCTCACCTTCATTAATCATTAGAAAGTTGCAAATCAAAACTACAATGCAGAAAGTATAAAACTGCCACTTGGGGGTTAGTTGTTTTGAATGTTCACTCATTATACCCACCTACCTCAAGATTACTCTGAAGTAAGCAATAGAAAGGAGGAGTCAGATGGCCCTGCCCTTCAAGGGCTCAAAGCCTGAAACTGATGGGGGAAACACACCACTATACTATGTAAGAACAGTAACATCATAGGCATGCATAGCTAGTTCTTCTAGGAATGCACAGAGGGAAGAGAAGGTGTATTTGACCTAAGGCTTAAAGACCAGCTCCACTTCTTAGCTCAGAAGGAAGCTGGGAAAGGAATAGAAGGAGCTCTAACATTCTTGACCAGAAATCATCCTAGCCTGATTAAGAAGTGGCTTGGCTTCCCCTGATGGCCCTGAAGCATCTTGTCTTGAATTTGGGTGACATAGACCACGTTTTCCTGGGTCTGGTCAACTAGATGATCTAACCACAGAGCTGTTAGAATCTTGAGTCAGCAGAGACCAGTCTTTGATCCCTCCCCATTAAGTTAGAACTCTCAATAATTTCTTACTGTTTTGGTGAATGGAAAACACCTTTTTATTTTCCCTAACTGAAAATGTAGTACATATATAAAGAAGGAGAACACAGATGCAGAGTGTTTACACTGATAAAGCTACTCACAATCCTAGAGGCTACTAATTAATTCTAAGAGCATCCCACTGCTTCCTTCTCTGCTCCCATTCCCTCCTACTTCAGGTGGAGACATTCTGGCTATATGTCAACTACACCTACCAAAACACAGAGCTCCAACTTTCAAACTTTCTCCTATGACTCATCAGTCATGGCAATATTTAAAGTTATACTAGCTCCCTGCCTAAAATCAGTTCCAGCTATACTGGTCTCCTAGCTGCTCCTTGAATAAACCAGACACATCCTGCATTAGGCTGTTCCCTCTAACCACTGCACTCTTCCCCCAAATGTCTGCATCCTTAATTCCCTCACCTCCTTTAAATCTGCTCAGTTGTCCTTTCAGGAAGGATAAGGTTTACCTTAGCCTTGCTATTTAAAATTGTATCCCTAGGGCTGGGGATATGGCTCAAGCGGTAGCGCGCTCGCCTGGCATGCGTGCGGCCTGGGTTCGATCCTCAGCACCACATACAAACAAAGATGTTGTGTCGGCTGAAAACTAAAAAATAAATATTAAAAATTCTCTCTCTCTCTCTCTCTCTCTCTCTCTCTCTCTCCCCCTCTCGCTCTTTCTTTAAAAAATAAAATAAATTTGTATCCCTACTGGGCATGATAGTGCTTGCCTGTAATCCTACCACTTGGGAGGTGGAGGCAGGAAGATCACAAGTTCAAGGCCAGCCTTAGCAATTTAGCAAGACCCTCAGCACCTCTGCAAGAGCCTGTGTCAAAATAAGAAATAAAAGGGCTGGAGATATAGCTCAGTGGTAAACCACACAAGTTCAATCCCCAGTACCCACCCACCCCAAAATCTGTATCCCTATCATAAGTCCCCTACCTTCCCTCTTACCTTTCTCTTTTTTCTATGAAACTATTCTAGAATACTATAAAATGTACTTAGTTACTGAATTCTTCCAACTCTCTTCTCTTTCTAGAATATGAGGTCCATAAGAACAAAGTCCTTTATAATTGTGTTCACTGAAGTATCCCAACTGCCTAGACAAGTGCCCAGACATATAAGAGGGGCTCAATGACTTATCTGTTGAATGAACAAATAAATGAGTGAATGGGTTATAAGAGCAAAATAAAAAAAGTACAAGTGTCTACTTGCTGCCTGCAGCCCACATCTGTTGTCACAGGTCTTACCTCTCAACTCCCCTAACACACAAAGTCAGTCAGCTCTACTCTTACCCCCCTTATTTTCACCTGCTTAGACTCCATTTCTATTCATTGGTGGCATCTCCACTGATTCCTTTCCACAGGCAGAATTTCTTATCTCCTCCCTGAATTCACAGCAGTCTCTGGACCTCTGCAACAACAGGGGACTCCACCTCTCTGTGCTATTCTTCTGTGTGAGACTCTACCCCCACTCATCTTTGCATTCCCCTGAGGATCCTGCTCAAAGAAGGAAAACCACTGATAAAGGAAAGTTCTGCCTAAAAAGCCCCACTTAGGGCCAGTGTTCTGTTCTTTCCTGTCCCTCATCTCCAGTCATCACCTGCAGACTGAGTTTAGATAACTCAAGAGACCATCAAAAATTGCAGGAAAATGTCACTAGTCAGAGTGCTTGGGAAGTATAGCTCTAAAAGTAAAGTTAAAGAGGGCTTAAAATTCACTGCTTAGAACACATAGCCACTGTCACCATTAAAAAGCCCTCCTACAATATTGATAATTTGTCACTTGTAGGTTGAGTAGTGTCTGAAAATAAGAAAGAGAATCTGTAATTGGAAGATAATTTGCTATTCCTAAAATATATCATTTATATTAACAATGCTTAATAGACACCCATTCCAATTTAACAACCACTTGTTTTCTTAAAGATGAAAATGCTCTTTGGCAGGAATAACTGTTACTATGAAATTAGTTCTTCCTTAATTGTTGTTACTCTCTTTTAAATTAGTAGTTGGCTTATTTATTTCATGACAATCTATTATTTCATGGTGTATTTGATTAAGACTGTCATATTAAAAGCCTTGAGTGTAGTCTCTATCCTTAATGTTCCAACTTCCCTTCTTAGTACATGCAATAAACATTTAGGTTTCTAAAAAAAAGGGGAAAAAAAAGCAATGCTCCTTCAGAAAGAGCCATCCCCCAGATGAAATATTAAGCCATCCTAATTCTCAGCCTACAGAGGAAACACTGAAAAGGTGATAACAATGATTACTCAAACTAAATAACTATTTCTAGTACTGACACCTGTTTTACTCCATAAGGCTCAAAAAACAAAATTATAACAAGCAGTAAAAGAACACAAGTGTATTTAAGCATACTTTGTGTGCTTAATTTACAGTAAGCTTTTCTAACTTTTTTCTTTTTTTGTAAATGGACATTAGTAGTTGGTACTTTTGTCTGGATTGATCTTGATTGTATCATACACCAATAATAATTTTCAATTTTTCCTTAATTCTAAAGAGTGTGGACTAAAAGATCCAGATAAAATCTGGATATATTTTTCACCAATATACTCTATGTAAATTAATGGATACTCTTGAGTTGTGATGTTTCTAGAAAATGCACTCTCTGTCACAAGAACAAATGGGTTCACAAATCAGCCTCATATTAATTAAAGCAAAGGCTTTGACATCTGGAGATGCGTGTGTGCACTATCAGACCTTTGTTAAAGCAGAAAAGGCCACAAAAAATCTCGGGGCTGGTTAATTCTGGTGGTTTTTGTTTTCTTTTGTTGTTTTTGGTCTTGCCCAAGAAAGCCCCATCACCAACCTCTTCCTAGGCATATTTTGATCAGGTTTCTTTGGCCCCTGATGGGCTTCTGGATCAGAAGGGGTTCTTCTCTTTTCACTCACTGACTGTCACTTCCTCTTCTACAATTTCCTATCTTGTCACCCCACCCTCTCCATTCCTCATTGACAGAGTTCAAAGAACTAGCACAGTACTCGGGACTTCCCAACACAATTAACCTTAACTCCTCTCACAGGATTGCACCACCGTGGTCTCCTCTAACCCACAGTGCCGCCAGACTTTTGGGAATCCCTCCCCACGGGCTCTGGACATCCTGGGACTTTGCGTGCCTGGGGCTCGGAGCCGCAATCGAGCCAGGAATCGGAGTCTCTAGAACAATGACTGTTCCAAAAGCGCCCCAGAGCACCGCTGGATGGGATGCCCCGGGAGGTTCGGAACCAGCGGCTCACCTGGGGCGCGGCCATCGGAGGCCTGGGGGCCATTTCTGCCTCTGCGGGGCGGGCTCCCGGACAGCGGCTGCGGAGAGAGGACAGCGCGCACTCACCAGGCTGCAACCAGGATCCCCACCCTGCCCGTCCCGCCTCCGCCCGCGCTCCCAGCCACTTCTGCCCGGAGGGTGGGGAGGAGGGCGGATCCCGTCAGGGCCAGCCGCCCCTCCTCCCCCAAACTGGGGCTTGGCGGCTTCTCGGACAACCCCCTCCAGCCACGCCCAGTCACACCCGCAGGATGGTGGGCGAGGCCCAATTGACACCCCTCAAACCCGTGAGAAGTGTTGCGCCGACCCGCGCACTCCGAATCAGCGCCTCCAGGGGGCTCAGGACTTGTGACCTCAGGCCTACCCAGGGCCTCAGATCGGCCCTCGACCACCGCCGCAGGCTCTGTTCTCTCCAGGTCTTTTCTGCAGAAGGGTTAGCTGCCCAAAGCAGCCTCCACCGCAACTGGGCTGGACAATGGCCGCAGCGGCGGGGTAGAGCCAGAAGTGCGCCTGCGCACACGGAGCCTCGCTCCCACACCCCCAGAGCCGTGGCAGGCACGTGAACTACACTTCCCAGAGGGCCTCGCGCGCGGGCCCCTCAGAGGCCGCCCCTAAGACTCCGCGCCCCCTGGTGGGGACCGCAGTGAGGGCGAGCGGGCCGGGCAGTGTGGCTTGAATGTTGGTGTGTCCTTTTAATGACTGAACCTATCTAGTGGCGGGATACAGCTCTGGCGCCTGCGGTTGAGGCAGACAATAAAAACGTAAAACACAAGATAGTTTCGGGAGAAAGTGAGGCCAAATTAGAGCCTGTGGAACGTTGATGCCGTCTTCACCCATGGGTCACTACCAAAGTTTGGACATCCTGACCCCCCAGACTACATCTATAACTAAGATACTATTTAATCATATTAAAGGAGAGGAAAAGGAAATTTCAGATAAATCCACGACCTCCTGATCGATGGCATAAGCAAACTGCTACTACCGTGTTACTTCATTATTTGATCTCCTTTTACTCAGGATTTTCTGCTTGGGATAAGCCTTAAATAGTGTAAAATTTTAACACAAAGATAGGTAGACTTTTAGATGCAGCCAATGGGTTTATATAATTACTTCATATATCATAAAAGTCAGTCTCAATTTCCTAGACCTAAACTTGAATTCTTTGGAGCATCACATACAAAGTAGAAAATGATTATACCTACGTGTTCCTGATGTTATATTACTTTATCGAGAGTATGTGCATTAAAAAATTATGCTTTCTTCCATTACTCCCTGAATATATGCTCTGGAATTGCAGTATAATGTTCTGAATCAGTAATTCAGAAATATGAATTAGAATGGTCTGGGGTGACCTAAATCAATAATTTAGTAACTTGGATTTAAGGAGGCAATTACAGAGAAAAAAGAATACCAGTCCGAAGGGACTCGGGGTGCAAAAGTCCTCAGGTGGAAAAAAGTTTGATTTGTTTTAGAAACAGTTGCCTAAAGCAGCTGTAACAAAGTGAGGGATGGGAGAGCGGGTGGAGAAGTTAGGAAAGCAGGTAGGCTGGGGCTCCATCAAGTTTTGGGGGTCATGATAAAAAAAGAGTGTGGATTTAACCTTGAGTGATGGGAACCACTGGATTAGCAAAACAGTGGAGTTGCTTATTACTGTGAGGGGATAAGAAGACCTTTTCCTATTGTCTCAGAATTGGTAACCAGGACCCAGTGTGGAAGATTAAGTTCTTTGTATTCTAAAGAGATACATTTGGGGCATCTTTCTAAAGAGATACATTTGGGGCTAGATGCATCAAGTCTTACATAGGAGACAGAGTGCTGATTTGCCTTGTGGCTATTAACCATTGCCCCCAATGCCACCCTTCTTTCCCCACTATTGAAGAAGATTAGGATGGGAAAGAAAAGGAAGAATTCCTCCAAACAGCAAGTCCTCCTCCTAGTATGGAATGTGGTGTTCCATTCCCAACCACAAGATGAACTTGAGAAAGAGAAGCACTCAAATACTGACACTTACCCAGGAAAGGAGGTTTTTATAAATTACAAGGGAAAGGGAATTAGAGAGCAATGCTGAGTGTAAGGCGGGCAGCCTGAATTTCCATTGATTGGGTAGTAAGTGGATGCTAGAAAAAAAATTGGACTTGGGCCCACAGGGCTTTGAGTAGTTCAGCCCACAAACTGTAGGAGCCTGTGGAATTAACTGGGTATGAGAAAGAACTGGGAAGATTGGAAGAGATTGAAGTGCAGCCAGAATCCACAGCCAGAATTCCCAAGACAGGTGGTATCCAAGGGTTTCCTTAGGAACAAATGTACTTCCATTTCTATCAGTGTGGCTCAGCAACTCAGTAAATGGGATTCACTGTTGACCTTCTTTCTCTGGGACCCATTGTTACCCAGAGATTCACTATTTACTTTTCTCTTCCAGGATTCATTGGCAATGGGAAAGGGTGAAAGTCTAGCATCCAGCATTTTAGAATCTGCCTCCTCCCTTCAGGACCCATTGTTGTTGGGTCCATTTACCCATCGTTGCTGGGCCTTCCCAACATGGTTGCTTTTGGTGGAGATCCTGGGAATGAACCCAGGAAGGGATGAACCCGGGAAAGAATGAAAGTTTGCTTTTTTCCTCCCAGAGCCCATTGCTACTGGGAGAGGATTTACTAGGAGAGGATTAATGATTGCCTTCCTCCTCCTTCTTCCTCCAGGTCCGACAGTTTGTTGGGGTTGTCATTTCCCTGTCCTGGGGGTTATCACTGTCGAAATCTTTCATCTATCAATGCTTCACTCCTTTTATTGCTGAATAGTATTTGATCGTATGAATATACCACATTCGTTCATCAGTTGGTGGGCATTTGGGATGTTTACACTTTTGTTTTTTTTAACGTATTCATAATTGCAATGCTATTGTGAATATTTGTGTACACATTTTGTGGAGGCATATGTTTTCATTGCTCTTGGGAGGTACCAAGAAGTGGAATTGCTCAATATTTGGCAATTCTATGTTTAGCATTTTAAAGAACTGCAAATCTGTTTTCCAACGTGGCTGCACCATTTTACATTTTCACCAGCAGGGTATGAAACTTCCACTTTCTTCACATCCCCACCCACATTTGTTACTGTCTTTTTTATTATAAATTTTCTAATGTGCGTATGTTAAATTTTACATTATGTGGATTTCACCTCAAGGGGAAAACAAAGCATAAACAAACAACCCCCCCAAAAATGCAAATATTTTTCACAATGAAAGGCAATGAACAACAATAGCAAGCAAACACACACAATGCAGAAGATGTTCAGTAAAGCCTCGCTGATTCCTAAAATAATTTTCACTAGAAGTAAATACACATTTTAGAGAATGGCCAAAATCTGCTCTGAACAATTTAGAAGGTAACATCATTTCAGACCCATTTTTTCAACCTCTTGGCAGATACCTCTTGGATGCCCTTCTCAGGCATTCCTTCCCAAATCTGTTCCACCTCTTTTGTGCTTTATTTTGAAACTCGGAAACTCTATTATGCACCCACACATTGCAAGTATAATTACATCTATATATGCATCAGCACCCAGAGCAGCATCATGCCCACTGCCTCCAGCACTGGGCTTCTTACTCCATAAATTCTCTAACTCAGGCTGTCTGGTCTCATTGGATCCTGCAGTGGGCAGGATAATGCTCCCCCACTCCCACAGTCTATGTCCAAATTCCCAGAACCTGTGAATATGTTTCCTAACATGGCAAAAGGGACTTTTCAGATGCAATTAAATTTATAATCTTGAAATGGAAAAAGTATTCTGGATTATCCAGATGGATCAATCTAATCACATAGATCCTTAAAGTTGGAGAACTTCTTTTTTGGCTGTGGTCAGAGGGAGATGTGACTATGGAAAAATGATCAAAGAGATATAATGTTGTTGACTTTGAGGATGGAGGAAGAAGGTGGGAGGCCAAGAAGTTGAAAAAAGAAACAGACTTCCTTGTAGTACCTCCAGAAATATAGCCCTATCAATATTAAGGCTTAGGGGTGGGAGGAGAAGGGAGGGGGCATGGGGTTAGAAATGATGGTGGAATGTGATGGACATCATTATCCAAAGTACATATATGAAGACACAAATGGTGTGAACATACTTTAAATACAGCTAGAGGTATGAAAAACTGTGTTCTATATGTGTAATATGAATTGTAATGCATTTTTCTGTCATTTTTTAAAAAAATATTAGGGCTTGACATCAGCCCAACATCTTATGACTCTGGGTTTATCATGACAATTTATGAATTTTTGCTTAAATTATGGTCATTATGACCCAAAATATGATATAGAATCAATGCAATCTGAGCTTAATTTTTTGAAGGGGTACTAGGAATTGAACCCAGGGGTGCTTTACTACTGAGCTACATCCTCAACTACCCCTTTTCTGAGGTCCTGGGAATTGAACTCAAGGTCTCATACTTGCTAAGCAAGCACTCTACCACTGAGCTACATCCCCAGCCCACACCCAGTCCTCTTTACTCTTTGAGACAGGATCTCACTAAGCTGCCAAGACTGGCCTCGAACTTGTGAGCCTCCTTTCTTAGCCTCTCTTATCACTGGAATTACATGTGCTACCATGCCTTATGCAATCTGAATTTAAGGACTGTATTTGGGTATTTAAAGACATCAATTGATACTAGTAATAAGTAAGTTTTGATGTGTTCAAACACCAAATATAATGAAAGGAAGGCAGAAAATGAATGAACTAGAGCTCCATTCTAAGCATGATGAATCTCAAAAACATAGTATTGAATGAAGGAAATGCAAGAAGTTAAAATAGAATGATTTTGTGTACATGAAGTTAAAAAAAACAGGCAACATTTACATATTAAGTTATGAGATGCATACTCTTTAGAAAATTTAATAAAGAAAACCAAGGAAATGTTTATCATAAAAGGCAAACCAGGTTTCCTCTGGGGAGAGGGAAAAGAGTCTAAACAAGAAGCAGCTCATGGGGAATTCAGGGGTTTGGGCAACGTTCCATTTCTTCACTTACTGTGGGCTGCAGGGAGGGTAAAAAGATGCATAATCTCAGTTTTGCAGCCAGTTGCATGAGGAGGATAATTGTGCCACTTACTGAGATGGGAAAAACTAAGGGAGAACAGGTTTATTTGGGGTAAGGCATATGTGGAATTAAGAGCTGTGTTTTGGCCATGTTGGATTCTAAGTGGATAAATTCCACTGGGGGTTCAAATTGACCGTTTCAATATATAAGCCTGGAGTTCAGAGAAGATGAAAATTTGGGAATTGACAGAATACAGATGACAAAGCTAAGGGACTGGATGAGGGGAAGAAAAATTGGCTCGCGGGGTGGGGGGGGATTCCATAATCCAAACCCTAGAGCACTCCATAGTCTAGAAGCTGAGATGCAGTGGCCAGGAAGGTAAGAGGGCATTGGGAGTATGTAGCACTGGAAGTCAATTAAAGACAGTGGAAAGGGTCCATGTTGTTTGCAGACTCCATAATCCAAAACCATCCTCAACCAAACCTGGGG